CATTCCAAGAGGTATGTGGCCCGGATATGAGTGTTTGGTGTGGGCTGGATTTGGACCACATGAATTTTGCTTTATGGGCAGACAAAAATCTGGGTCTGAACCCAAAGTGGCTCACATGTGTAGGTGCAAATGTGGCCCAGTTATTATAAAACAAATGTGGGCCACTTTTGGCAAATATTTAGCACGGTAAGTTCTGTCTAATGTGGCTGTGAGCCTGAAGTGGTCCAGATGTGATATGAAAAATTGGACCCAGTTATCTTAAGACATATGTGGACCACTTTTGGCAAATATGCGGCACAGTAAGCTCTAGCTAACTTGGTTGTGAGCCTAAAGTGGTCCAGAGAAAATATGGCAAATATAATGGCAAAACTTTTGGCAGATATTCTGCACAGTAAACTCTGGCTATGTAGGCTGGATGTAAGTTTCTGGTGTGGGCTGGATTTACCACATAAACTATGCTATTTGGGAAGGAAAGAATCTGGGTCTAAACCCAATATGGGTCACATGTATAAGTGCAAATGTGGCCCAGTTATTATAAAACAAATGTGGATGGCAAATATTTGGTACAGTAAGCTCTGGCTAATGTGGCTGTGAGCCTAAAGTGGTCCAGATGTGATATGACAAACATGGCCTTTCTTAATCCTAAGACCTTATTTAATACTATGAATGTAAAAAATACTACTCCAAAAATTCACATTATTCAACTTTTTTGGGTCATAAAATATATAATTTCGCTCATAGTAACATGCCACTCTGTACTGCGCTGCATCTATATTCTGATTGGTTAAATTGTCAGTGTCACAATTACCTCCATTTTACAACCACATGCACACTCCCTTCTGCTTTTTACTCTGCTGTTACTCCTTCATATGCTTTGTCTATGGTATTTGCTTTAAATTCCTCTTTAAATGTGAGGCACCATGTACCCCTTCCTTCATGCATGTAGCTGCACATATGGAACGAGTCAAAGTTTCCACTGGGCTTATGGTAGAGCTGACCCAGCAGCTCTCATCACTGGAAAACCTGAGGTGAAGTTTGGAAAGGAAGTAAATGACCTCATAAATCCATAGTATGTCTGTCTGCTCATGTCTAACACACACACACACAGACACACACACACACACACACACACACGTACGCGCACACACACACACACACACACACACACACACACACACACTAACACACACACAGCTTTACAGTGGTTAGGAATTATAAAGTGTCTTTTTCATTCTCATTCTCACATTTGTCAGAGTACAGCTTGAACATTTACTCTAAAAATGCTAATTGTTTTAAGCCAATGGTGAGCGAAATGTGGACAAAGTCAGCTGTTGGGTTAAAACTAAATTTTTAACAGTTAAATATGGGTTTGTCCATATTTAACCTAAAATTGGATTGAAATCTCAGCATTTTTAAGAGTGTTGCATCATCCAAATGTCATAACAGTGGGTAGCGCTGTTGCCTCACAGCAGGAAAGTTACTGGTTCGAGCCTCGGCTAGGTCAGTTGGCATTTCTTTTTTATTTTCTTTTTTTTATTGGTGTTTAACAAGACAATACATCATAGTATAAAACACAACATAGGAAAAATTACAGATTGCCTTATTTTTCTTATTTTCCCACTATGCCCTCAAAATAAAATAAATAAAATGTATAAATTATAAACAAACATATCCACTAAAAGAAAAAAATACAAATATAGAATTGTCAGTTGGCATTTCTGTGTGGAGTTTGCATATTCTTCCGTGTTGGTGTGGGTTTCCTCTGGGTGCTCCAGATCCCCAACAGTCCAAAGACATGCGGTACAGGTGAATTGGGTAGGCTAAATTGCCCGTAGTGTATGTGTATGCATGAGAGAGTATGAATGTTTCCCATGAGTTGTGGCTGGAAGGGCATCCACTGTGTAAAAACATGTGCTGGATAAGTTGGCGGTTCATTCCGCTGTGGTGACCCCTGATTAATAAAGAGAATAAGCCAAAAAGAAAATGAATAAATTAATAATAATAAAAATAATAAATAATTTTAAATAATAATAAAAAAATTATGAAAATAATTCATTTATTCCTTTTAAATCCATAATTAAACTTAACTTAAAATCAAATTAAAATATAATGGAAAATAAAAAATATCTATTTTTTAGTTTGATCAAAAAACCTCTTATGTATTCTTTCGTTCATTTGTTCATTTTAAGCCACACATGGAAACTATACAGGTATCAGTATTAAGAGATAAATAATTAAAGTCTTCTTATAAAGTTTATATATGGTTTTCTTGCTGTGAGGCAATATAATATAATATAATATAATATAATATAATATAATATAATATAATATAATATAATATAATATAATATAATATAATATAATATAATATAATATAATATAATATAATAAAATATAATATAATATAATATAATATAATGTAATATAATATAATATAATATAATATATTGATAATATAATATAATATAATATAATATAATATAATATAATATAATATAATATAGGTGACGCAGTGGCGGAGTGGGTAGCACGTTCGCCTCACAGCAAGAAGGTCACTGGGTCGCTGGTTCGAGCCTCGGCTAAGTTGGTGTTTCTGTGTGGAGTTTGCATGTTCTCCCTGCATTTGCGTGGGTTTCCTCCAGGTGCTCCGGTTTCTCCCACAGTCCAAAGACATGTGGTACAGGTGAATTGGTGTAGGCTAAATTGTCCATAGTGTTTGTGCGTGGATGTGTTCTGGAGATGGGTTGTGGCTGGAAGGGCATCTGCTGTGTAAATACTTGCTGGATAAGTTGGTGGTTCATTCTGCTGTGGCGACCCCAGATTAATAAAGGGACTAAGCTGAAAATGAATGAATAATATAATATATATAATAATATAATATAATAATCATTCATTCATTCATTTTCTAGTTAACCTAGTCCCTTTATTAATCTGGGGTCGGCACAGCAGAATGAACCGCCAAATTATCCAGCACTTTGCCATCTCTGGGAAACATCCAAACACTCATACACTACGGACAATTTAGCCTACCCAATTCACCTGTACCGCATGTCTTTGGAAACCCAAGCGAATGCAGGGAGAACATTTAAACTCCACACAGAAACGCCAACTGAGCCGAGGCTCGAATCAGTGACCCAGCAACCTTCTTGCTGTGAGGTGACAGCACTACCTACTGCGCCACTGCGTCGCCTATAATATAATATAATAATATAATATAATAAAATATAATATAATATAATATAATATAATATAATATAATATAATATAATATAATATAATATAATATAATATAATATAATATAATATAATATAATATAATATAATATAATATAATATAGTATAATATAATATAATATAATAAATTATAATATTATAATATAATATAATATAATATAATATAATATAATATAATATAATATAATATAATATAATATAATATAATATAATATAATTTATTTTTTTCCAGAGATAGGTTGTAGCTGAAAGGGCATCCGCTGCGTAAAACGTGCTGGATAACTTGGCAGTTCATACCACTGTGACGACCCTGGATTAATAAAGTGACAAAGCTGAAAAGAAAATGAACGAGTAATATAATATATATTGGGCGACATGGTGGCTCAGTGGTTAGCACTGTCGCCTCAAAGCAAGAACGGATTTGAATTCAGGCTGGGTCAGTTGGCATTTCTGTGTGGAGTTTGCATGTTCTCCCCGTGTTTGTGTGGGGTATTCTCCGGGTGCTCTGTCTGGTTTCCCCAACAAATACAAAGACCTATGTGGGCAAAACCCATTTTACGATACATACCAAGAGTAACAATAAGGCTATCCGTACCCTTTTCCAAAGAGAACTTATAACTGTACCTTATATTCAATCTTATTGGATGTCATTAAAGGATCAACTGATTTGCTGGAAAAAAGTGTGGCTGTTACCACAGAAACATTATGTTAGAAATAAAATTAAAGAAATATCTTATAAACTCCTCCACATATTTTATTGAGCAAAACATTATTTACAAAAAATTTAAAGTTGGATTGATGTAAATTGTATTTTTGTAGTGAATATGAGGAGACTGCTTTACATTTATTTTGGCCTTGCTCATACTCAGTCAACTTATGGAGTGAGGTGCAAAAATTTATTAATAAACAATTACAGTGTTCTAAATCTGTCATTGCCGTGGGAAAATTTACTTTTTGCCATTTCTATGTACCATAATCAAGAGGAAAATTGTTTTTATTTAATTAATTATTTTGCTAACAAAATTTTACATTCATAAATGTAAATTAACCAATAGGAAACCGAATTTTAAGGTGTTGATGACTGAATTATGCTTATATATTAGTAGTATCAGAGACTCTCTAAATAAGAAAGCCCTACACACTTTAAAACTTTGTGAACTCAATGTTATTTTAGGTTGCCTTTTAAAATCTGGCATGGGGGCAACAGATAAAAATTAGCTGTTGTGGCTAACTCTGGCTACTGTTTATTAATGAGAATTGTCCCTGTTAAATAAAAAAATAAATAAAATAAGTAAATAAATAAAAATTATCAGCATCATCAGCTGCATAAATCTGGACAAGTTGGCGGTTCATTCCGCTGTGGCAACCCCTTATGAATAAGGGGAATAAGCTGAAGAAAAAAATAATGAATGAATAATATATGGCAAACACACATGCTTCACGTGATCAAAAACACTTTAACTTCCTTAAAAACAATGAAGATGTCATTCTAAGTATAGTCGGAAATCTTCGTGTTTATTTTCACGTTTATAAACTAGATACTGTTTAACAATATATCTAAAAGTACTAGCAATGAAGTATTTTCACGGCAATACACTAGATACTGTTTAACAATATATCTAAAGGTAGTAGCAATAAAGTAACCTTTTTGTTTCTATCCGAGAGAACTACAAGCTCCAGTCCAGCAGATGGCAGTAACACACAACCGACCGTTCACACACACACACTACCTACTTCTACTTCCGTAGCTCGCAGCAGCATCATTCATAGCAACGAAAACAGCGGTTTGTCTTCACAATGGCAAGTAGATTTTTACCACTGATATATGATCATACATGACTTTAATTGAAAAAACATTTTATTCACCACTTTACTTTTCAGAAGAGTTTTTAAATAGGTAAACAATGACTGCTGGGCGTTGTCATTTGCGAGATGGCCCTTAGTAGCCAACAATTTCTCGAGTAAACAAAAGCAAAAACACGACATTTTTTCAGTAAAGACTAATTTATTAATTTAACGGAACGTTTATCTTGAAGCATACTAACTATTTAGCCGTGTTATAAGCAGGTTTTGTGGTTTATTTGTCTGTTTTAATCTCTGTTTCAGGCCGAGGTGGAGGAGACTATTAAAAGGATTCAGTCTCAGAAAGGAGTACAGGGAATCATCATTGTTAATGCAGAAGGTATCTATTATTTGCCAATTAAGAAATAAGCAGAATAGCAGATGTAATTGCGTGTTTTGGTTGAGCTGCAAACAATGTCATGTGCTTCAGTGCAGCATAAAACAAAGACATCTTTGTTGTTGGGTCTTTAATATGTCCTGTGTGTTTTCTCGTAGGAATCCCCATTAAAAGCACTCTTGACAACACGAGCACAGTTCAGTATGCTGCTAACATCCATCAGCTGCTCATGAAGGCCCGGGGAATAGTGAGGGACATCGACCCTCAGAATGATCTCACCTTTCTACGAGTTCGATCAAAGAAGAATGAGATCATGATTGCACCAGGTAAAGATACATTAGAGATGTAACGGTATGAAAATGTAGTATCATGATTATATTAAAGAAATGTATCACTGTTAAAAATACCAAATCATGTAAGACATTCCACCAAGTTTTACATCTGCATATGAAAAAACAACAAATGCAATCTGCAGTTTTTTTTGCCATCTCGTGGGTTCATTATAAAACGCTTATAGTTAAAAAAACCTAACAGGGCTTAAAGGGCACATAGTTTACCCCTTTTTATGATTTAATATTAGTATTATGGTTCTTCTGAGTGTGCCAGTTTAGGTTCAGTTCAAAACACAGTTCAGATGTTTTTATTATAGTGTGTTCAAAAGTGTCATGTTGGGGGCGTTTACACAGTTGCTGTTTTAGGCATGTGTTGCTTCACATGAAAATTAGTTTCGGCTTCCCACCCAACGTAACAAGGGGGCGGAGCCAAGAGCTTACCCGCTCTGTGTTTGGCAACAGACAAGCAGACTGTGAGACGGAGCAGGAGTGAGAGGATCAGCATTCAGCCGTACATGTTCGACTCGGACACAGACCAAGCAGAGAGTGTCTTTGGACAGTTTTACAGACAACTGTGTTCTAGTTTAAAGTGCCGAGGTTGTACACTGATACTTATAACCACGCACACTGAATTAACTTTGACTGCGACACCGGATGCGCCGCGACATGGCACACCAGACACTCTCTGTGGCGCGGCAGAAACATGAAGTGTCCCGAATCGTCGCGCCACGCATTCTAGAACTCTAAACACAGGCCTAAATCAGGGTAAACACAACGGCGGCTGTTCGCGGCGCCCAGCCGCTGGCTTGAAGCGCCATTGTGTTTACCCTGACAGAAACCCACGCCCAGAACTCCAAAATGCAAGGCGCTGCATCAGCGTCGCGCGACGCTTCTGGTGTGCGACCTGCAGGCAACGCACATGAAGCAACGCGCTTGCACTTTTCCAGCTGCACCAAGTTAAGATCACGGAGCTTCTGCGACCTCGAGAAATGCAAACGGCTGAAGTTTAAGGTAGACGCAATGAAAAGTACACGTTTGCAAACCTACCTAAAGATACAACCAATAATTCCGATTAGAGCGATAATGTGGAGAATATTGAGCTTATTTTGAGCCTAATATGCCTAACATCTAAAAATAGAGCAATGGTGTTCCTTTAGTGATTTCTCTTTGACTCACGCTGAAAATGGTGAACGTGAATCAACAACCTAAGGATATTATGACCCGCCTGTCAATCAACATTGGTGGGTGGGGGAACCGCACTCCTACGTCAAGTTGCGGTCGCTCTAAAAACCGCTCCAATTGGTCCACAGTTTTTATGTTGTTAAATTGAAAAAAAAGGACCGGGTGTGTTTATATCACCCAAATATGACAGTCTATATACTATACTTACACACATGTCTGTCCAAACAGCTTGAAAAGTAGATTTTTTACCATAGGTGCCCATTAATGTACCCAAACATACACCAGAGAAACTCATATTTATGTCAAACAGTACTTGTAATTAACACTGATTATTGTCAAAAGAAAGGCTTAATGTAACTTTACAACAACCGAGAGAAACTAAATGTTAAAAAGCCTCTTAATAAAATCTAATTTTATTTATAATGGATTAACCCTTGCTGTCAAAAGAATGTGCTTGTGCATGTCATTGACATTCCCACAACAGCATGGGGGAAAACGCTTGGCACAATAATGTTTACTTTAGCTGTGGAAATGGGGCTCTTTCTTTTGCTAGTAGTTGGTGCTAATCACAAGTAAAATTTGTCAAAAATTTTATTTTCCCCACTTGATGTTAAGGTGCATTCAGCCACATTAAGATTTTTCCTTATAATAGACTTCAGTGGGGGAAGAAAACGCTTAACGTGATGTTTTTCACTTTATCTATGTAATTGGGGTTCAGTCTTTTTACAGTAGTTTAGGGTAATTCATTAATTAATTCATTTTCTTGTTGACTTAGTCTCTTTAGTAATAATGGGTCGCCACAGCAAAATAAACTGCCAACTTATTCACCATATGCTTTACACAGCGGATGCCCTTTTAACTGCAACCCATAACTGGGAAACATCCATACACTGTCATTTACACGCATACACTATGGACAATTTAGCTTACCCAATTCACCTATAGCACATGTCTTTGGACTTGCGGGGGAAACCGAAGCACCTGGAGGAAACCAACGCGAAACAGGGAGAACATGCAAATGGAGCCAGTCGAGGCTTGAACCAATGACCTTCTTGCTGTGAGGCAATATCGCTATCCACCACAGCGCCCCATATTCAAACGGTCTAATTTAATAATAACAACAATAAAAATTAAACAAAGTTAGGATAAGTTCAGCTAATTTGCCTATATCAACACTTCCAGTTCATTCGTGTTTGCGTGGGTTTCCTCCAGGTGCTCCGGTTTCCCCCACGAGTCCAAAGACATGCGGTATAGGTGAATTGTTGGGGTAGGGGTAGTTGTTGATAAAATACAATGAATGGGAAATTTAATAAATAATATAAATCATAAAAATTTAATAAGTAATATATTTTCATTACCTTAAGGCTTGAACCATATCTGATCTAGTAACAACCCTGATTTAGATCGATTTACATACTAATAAAATTTTAAATGTTATTTGGAAAAATGTAGTTTTGTTTTAGCAGTATATTATTCTTTTTTATATTACTCATTGTAATGCTATGTGTTTGTTTATTTAACACTTTTACTTATTTGAATACTTTATTTTAAAATAATTATCCAGCTGCTATTTATTTATTTTTGCAAATTTAACAAGTTATTATTAAATTGTATGTATTAGCCTTATTCTTAATACAATGTTAGGCTTATTTTAATACAAAAGTATTAATTACTTTTATTTATTGATATATATGTTTTATTTAAGCCTTTTCTCTGAACATTTCACTGAATGGGTCCCCCGGACCTTATTTTGAAAAGCCCTGATTTAGGGTAAAGTCTAGATAGAAATAGGATACACTGCTGGCTAGAAGTGCGATATGCACATCAATATAGCAGCAATTTTAATGACACTGTATAACAATAATTAATATATTTACATTACTGTTTACAGGTTTAGAGTTAGGGTAGGGGTAGATGTTTTGTTATAAATGCCATAATGTTGTACATTCAAGTCTATCTTTACAAAAACCAATTTGCGTGTTGTATTATTCTGTAATGTGCTATATAAATCTGATATCAACTAATTGTAATGATCAGAAATTAATCATATATTTACTCTGTTTTCTCCACAGACAAGGACTATTTCCTGATCGTCATTCAAAATCCCACAGAGTAGTCCTTCTAAGTACTTCTGAAGTATTTTTTTTTTCTGTAATTACAGGCCAAAAGTGTTTCATTTAATGTTTCAGTGAGGTTTATATAGTACTATTAACCACATAACATTACAGGAAGTTGCTTCTTATCCTATTATAAAAATATGGTTTGTACTGCTCTTGCTTATCATTCCAATAGTTTGCCATATACTTAATTTATTGTTTTCTCATTCTCATTTTTGCAAGTACTCCAAACTGTTCATCATCAAAAAGCAAAAACATGACACTATTACATACTGTACTTGTTTGTGAATGCTAACAGGACAATAAAACAACAATGCATTTCCTTTTATTACTTTTTGTGGCTGTGTGTATTCATATTGAATGGAAAAGGTGCTTTGTTTTTTGCCATAATATAAATTTAGTTTAGGTTTATATAGAGAATTGAAAATGATTTCATGTTTAAAATAATTCTTGTAAATGGCTGCAAAAACCTGTTTGAATTTAAATTGATCGCAAAAGAAGAAAATATTTTTTAGAAATGTTGAAAACTCTTGACTTAATTTTGCATTTTTCCCCACTACAATGGATATCAATGGTTACCGGATTCCAACATTCTTCAAAATATCTTCTATTTCATTTAATAGGAAATATTAACCCATAATAGTCTAAAACCAGTTGAGGTTAAGCAAATGCTGAGTAAATGTTTAGTTTTGGTTAAACTATTCATTTAAAGAGGACTCTGTCTCTTTAAATCTGATGACGTCACGAGCTTTAGTATATTGTGTCGAGCTGTTTTGCTTACAGTGAGTCAGGAGCTCGAAAAGAAGCCGAGTCGACCGACAATTCAGCATATAATAACACGCAAACCCTTTAAACTACTTTTAACCACATTCAAGCACAGTTATGCCATCCGACAGACCCTTCAAACAACGACGGAGCTTCGGTAAGATGAGTTTTATTCGTGCCTTGTCAGCCGAAGTGTATTTGTTTATCAGGTTTGTTTTTGTCCCTAGCCTGCTAGCAACTGCGTGACACACTGTTTACATTCCTCTACAAAGCTCTAAATGCTTATGAGACGATTATAGAAATAAATATTAAAGTCTAAATGACAGTTTTTAACAAAAACCGACAGAGGTCAGTTGCTAAACAGTAAGCTAGCTTGGGCTTTTTTATAGGCCTTGTGTTTAAATTTTATCAGCTTTATTTTTTTACAATTGTTGTGTTTGTAAATACGTATATAACCTTATATTTAACTTTTTACTTAGAAACATAGATGAATGACATATAGTTACAGATATGTAGCTAGATAAATGTGTTGTTTACCAGCTTTGTGAAAATGTGAGATCAACATTTCTTTTTTTTGACAGTAGTGTTTTTCTGTTACATTTGGTGTAAATGATGCATTTATATATTTAGAATATTTATTGTTTGACAATAACATTGAAGGAAAGGATGGACTGTACACGTGCTGTTGATATGATGCTGTAATATGAGCTCTTTCTCATAGTCCAGACTGTGGACAGGGTGTGGGGAGGGAGGAGCATAAAACCCTTGCATAATCTTCCTAAACATAACAAGTGCAACATAGATTTGCTGTTTCAAACACATCTGTAAGAGTCCGGGTCAATATGATCTGCATACAGTCTTATATTTGTCCAGCCTTTGGGATTATACAATTGACATGGATGACTCAGACATGACATCAGTAAAAATGACACACAAGTTAGGAAGCTTACTTTACCCTGATAAGCAAGCTTTATTTTTTTAGTTTTACTTTATTTTTATGTTTTACTTTGAAATTTACTTGAAGTGGTAGCCAGAATGAAACACAAGTTACCCATATCATCACTTAAATAGATATTGATTTTCGACAAACAAAACATAAGTTAATTTTTACAATTTTATTTATTATGACATTGTTATACAGTTTCTTTTCAATGGCTTAAAGTAAAAAGACTGTTGAAAAAAATCCACTATTTCTCTTACTTTTATACTATTCAGGAGCCATTTGCACCCTCTGACAGGTAAAATCTGCTTCTTTCACTCCAAGTTCAAAGCAAACTCGAATGCCAAAGCATTTTAGAAATGTATAGAAAATAGCCTATGTAATATATTAACATAAATTAATAAAATAATCAGCAGATGAGAAATAAATGATAGAAAAGGAATAAAAACAGACAATGTCTCTAAAAATGATTTTAATTACAAGATTAAAACGTGTAGTTTATTTAAATAACGCAAATGCGTTGATTAACCATTGTTGTTGAGCTTTCAGAGGGATAACAAAAGATATTAAACCTTTTAACAGAAATTAATGTTTGTTTGTCTGTTATACTGTACATTATGGTGGAATAGGTTTGTAGAGTAGGGCATGTCAAACAACACATCCGCAATTATTTTTCCTCAAGTTTTTAGGAATGTTTATTGAGCGTTTCTGCTAAACAGGTTTGACATAAGCAAATTCAGCAAATGCTAATGCAGTGATTACAGTGTTTTCAGGAATGAGTCTTGAAAATATACTTACTGTGTATTTTGAATTTGGACTTTAAAATGTATATTATTCAGAAGTGTACCAAATTTCTGTTTGTTTTTTGTCTTTTCAGCTGATCGTTGCAAGGAAGTGCAGCAGATCCGAGAGCAGCATCCTAATAAAATTCCGGTGAGAAACTAGTTTTGTTTTATGCAAGTGTCATAAATGAGTTTAGACTTATTGCTTTAGCCTTATTGCTTTCAAGATGTCACTTACCTGTCAGCTCCGGATTTCTTTTAAGATCCTGAGATTTATTACTCTAAAACAATGGGCTTCAACTTCTATGAGGGCCTTGGGGTGACTTAGAATTATTGAAAAAAAAAAAAGATGAAGCTAAAGCAGTTAGAAATACTGCATTTATTTAACAAAGCATCAATCATTTTAAAGTGTGATTTCTAGACCTTGGAAATATAAAAATAAGTAATATTAAAATACATTGTTCTATGTATCCACAGCTCTAAACCATTATATGAATATATCAAAATATATTAGGAATTAATCTTATTTTTTTATTTTAATCTTTATCTTTAGTGAAATATATTAGGAAATATATTTCAAAGACAAGACATTCCATTCTGTCATCTGCTTCAAATTCAGTATAAGTGATTTTTATATACAGTTCTCACCCCGTTTTAAAAATTTTTGGAGGCGAAATTTTTTTTCCCATTTCTCGGTGCATATGGATAATATATATTGGTGCATTTGATCAAAACCGATAATTAAACAGATATTTTTATTAAAATAATATTTCAGTCACAGAACAAAAAATGAAAAAAGATAAAAATGAAAAGATAATATATTTAAATTAATGCAAAATATTGCAAAAAAAAAAAAAAATTACAAACTACAACATTTCAACAAAATTGTATATATTTTTTGTAAAAGTTCCTAAGTTATTTTATTAGAGAAGCTCCAGATTTGGCTTCAGTACTGAATAAACTAATGTATATGCACAAATAAAATATTGTACAGCATCCTATAGAAAATATTAATTGAAATCAGACATTTGTGGGGGGTGTACTCGTATATGCTGAGCACTGTACATAAAAAGCATAGTAACTTTCTACTTTAATGTTCTACTTTAACATTATGACATTATATGCTAAATGATTAGAAAATATTGATCTATAATCATTTAGCATATAATGTAAAAATGCAATGGCAGCAGCTGGCTTTATTGTAATAAAATGTATAAAATAATAGATGATCATACTAAAACTGCACTAAAATGATTAAAAAGAACATTTTAATGTCATGATCAAATAATTCTTGTTTAAATATGCCTGAAGATTTTTCAAATATAAACTATTGCACTGATTAGTATTTTAGATTGTGTCTGATAGTCACTATTGTATAATCTGATAAAACCTATTCTAATGTATGAACATTTGAAATCTATATTACAGTGTTGTATATTTGGTTTGTATAAATATATCTCAAAGGATATGTTGTCTAAAAAAATGCTACTAGACCCATTTCAAAACTATTTCTTCTTCCAGGTGATCATTGAGAGGTATAAGGGGGAAAAGCAACTTCCAGTCTTGGACAAGACCAAGTTCCTTGTCCCTGACCATGTTAACATGAGTGAGCTGGTAAAGATTATCAGGTAAACATCCATAAATTCAGTGCCTAATTTTGACTTTGGAAAATTTAAATGCACAAAAAAAAAACAGGACGTTGAGACTTATTGATATCAGCTGAAAGTCATGAAGAAATGGAGATAAACAGAAATATTTTTGTGCAAGTCACTGTAAGCAGTAAATAGCATTTACTTTAGCTGTATCCGGTTTGTTTACTCGTCTGATAGGGGAGGAGAATGCTATGCGGTTTCAGTTAAAAGTGTCTTCTGACCCCGTCATCAACAGGAGACTTTAGCAAAACTCTTTTCAACTGCTTGAACTTGAAAACTGTTTGCGCAACATCCACATTCTTTGTGGCGGGCTATTTTCCTATTTCTTTTGTGATGCTTGAATGTGAAAGCAAGTTATCTTTCCTCTTGTAAGATCAGTGTTGCCTTCCAGGTATTTGAACACAGACTCGGTCAGATGATCAGACTAGAGACACATGCTGCCGATCATACTTCATAATCCTTGCCTATGAGTCATGGCTGCCATATTATTTATAGATCAGGCTTGAAATCATGATTAAATTTTGAGTTCAAAGGTGAAGTTTCTGACACTTCACTGTAAAAATTAGGATTCTAACAAAATGCTAAGGTAATTTTCTTATGTGTAGTTTAACATGGAATTTTGAAGTTATCTTACTGCATATGTTTCAGTGAAATTATCTAATTTGATGCTCTCAAAAAACAGAAATGAGTTTAAAAAAAAAAAAAACCTTGTCCATCATTATATTTTTAGGCCAGGTTTTCTTGTGTTAATGCAAGCAGCATACATTTAGGCAAAAAGCTGTATTTGTATTGAAATGTATTATTATTACCCCATTTCCATTCATAAATCTATTTTACACGTGGTGCAAAAAATAATTCCTCTTAGGACCTTCAAGGCCCAAATTGCCCCACTGAAACCCATTAAAATGGCAGTATTTCATTCCAGTGCCATTTAAGTGCTTTTGTTAACAGGTTTCCATTTTGTTGGCAAGGTTTCTGAATTATAAAGTATTAGTAATACAGTCTTATTATCTGACTGGAATGAAAAAAGTAAAAACTAAGGTCAGTGTAATTAGCCACCTAAAGAAATATATATATTTTTAATTGGCTACAGAACAAACCAATGTTTGCATAATTAACCAAATTTACCAAGTTAACCAAGTTAAGCCTTTAAATTGTACTTTAAGCTGAATACTACTACCTTGCAAAATATCTACTAAAATATTATGTACTGTCATCATGGCAGAGACAAAAGAAATTAGTTATTAGAGATTACTTTTAAAACAGTTGTGTTTACAATGTGTTGAAGTTTATTGTGCAGACCTACTTTTATTCATTCATTTTCTCTTCGGCTTAGTCCCTTTATTAATCTTGGGTCACCACAGCGGAATGAACCGCCAGCCCTACTGGAATGTATGTAAAATAATATATTTACACTGTACAAAATGCAGGGTTCAACAAAAATTGCTTCATGTTGTCCCAACACAATTCGATTGTTAACTTGATTGTTGTTACACATTTAAGTGGATTGTATATAAAACAATTAGGTTGTCAAAAAAACCAAAGAATTGTGTTGAGTCTGCTTATCTCAAATAAGTGGTTTAAACAAGCAGTAAAAATATTTTTTAGTGTAGTTTTTTCAACAATAGTGGCAATAAATAAACAATCTTAAAAAGGGTGCAAATGTAGTTTTATCATGGCTTTATTGGCTAATATTGTAGATCTCATCATGGCTGATATTGGTGAAAATTTTTTTTTTACATTTTTTAAAATATGATACTTTTATGATGGTATTTGGAAATATTTTTGCCCCCTGTGGACTTGTGTAACTTTTAACATTGACATGCAAGTGCTTAAGAAACTAAAGAGCAACTGTGGATTAAACTGAACAGCCTTGCATTTGCCTTGAATGTGCATGTTTTAGTCATTATAATCAGCTCTGAAATCTCTCGCAGGCGTCGATTGCAGCTCAACCCCACCCAGGCCTTTTTCCTTCTTGTCAATCAGCACAGCATGGTCAGCGTGTCCACCCCCATTTCTGAGATCTACGAACAAGAGCGGGACGAAGACGGCTTCCTCTACATGGTTTACGCCTCCCAGGAGACCTTCGGCTGCTAAACAGGCCGACTCGACCTTCGACAGGAACAGACGTCACCCAAATGCACCCGATTATTTAGCTCTGTCCCCATCATCACTACTCTGGTAGGAAATACATAAAAACCATTGCGTTTTCTCCATTTGACACTATAGTGCAAAGTAAAGCACTAGTATAAACACTACACTGATCTTTCGCCCCATTTTAAACCTCCTACTTTTCCTTTAAAAGCTCAGCGTAGGTTTTGTATTTGGCTCCGTGACTTTTTTTCCCTTTGTATTTTTATTATCTTTAGGCGAATATGTCAAATAATAAGTAACACATGTTGATGTAAATAGGTAAGAGTGTGTGTGTTTTTTATTATTTAGGATTGATTTGTTTTTTCTGTCTGTTTGCTTGTAGTAAATAATAGCCTGTTACCAGACCGCAGTGGTGCTGGTGTAAGATTGTGAAAATCTTACAGAAGAATTAAGTGCTTATTAATCAAAACGCAGCATCATTTTCATTAAATCAACTATTAGACCCGTTTTTTTGGGTCCCAAGATAAAACTGAAAGGAGAACAATAATTGAACTGATCCGAAGAATTTCTTGGTGTAAAAAAAAACCTCATTGATCACTCACTGTAAAATAAAGATACTGCCTGACGGTAACTGTACTGTATATGTGTGAGCCGGAAGAACAGCAAAGATCTTTTGGCATACAGTATTCTGCAGTCACATCATTTTTAGAATAAACTGCTTTATTTGCACAATTTAAAAAAAACATCTAAGAGGACAAACTGTTCAACAAGTATAGCACATAATTATATTCTCTTTTATTCTTGATTTTTTTCCTCCTGTGTCACCATACGAGCTGTATGCCTTCTGTTAAATCTCAGATGAAGGGATCGTGATGCACTACTTTGCATGTTGGGTTTCTCAACCTTTTTTATATTGATTTATGCTATAGATTTGTTAATTATTTCAGCTTTATTTAAAGAGACTTTTTAGGTGTTTTCAAACCAAAAAAAAAAAAAACTGAAAAATGTCAATGGATGTTTGAAAAACAAGTGTGTGTATAAATCATTGTACAAAAAAAAAAAAAAAATGTGTTCTGTTGTTTTTTTCTAAATGCATAAGCACTGATGATACACTTTTCAGTACACCTGGTATGAACAACAAATCTAGTCTCGAAAATGAAAACTTCTTGAAGAAGGTTTGACAAACACTTTGAATTGTAATACATACAGTATGTTTTATGCAAATCATGTGGAAAAAAAGTGTTAAAGACAAATAAACATTTAACACTAAGAACAGTAACTATTAATATCACAACATATCTTTGCATCTGTAATTCACAGATCGTTATAATTAATATCATACAATTATTTAATCATCTAAATGGCAATGAACAAATATGCAAGTATTTTTACTTTAGATTTACAGCATTTTTTAAATAACTTTGTAGTTGTAATAATAACTAATATTGTTATAAATAAATAACTTTATTTTTGTCCTGTTATGAGAGAATAGGGCAGAATTCTATCATGTATACTATAGTATTCTGCACGGTGAAAACGCTACATTATTTCAAAATTGTGCTGACACTGGATAGTTTGTCATATCTTATGTGTATTGTTTTTAATACATTGATGAAAAATTTGATGACCATTTTATAATATTTTGAATGCACCTTGATAATATTACCATGATCAAATTAGAACAATTTTTAAAATTACACCAAAAATGCTGGATTATTTCAACTCAATTTTGGATAAAATATGGGCAAAATGAACCACTGTGTTATTATAGGACCAAATAAAACCCAAAGTTAAGGTTTGTCCGTATTTTCCCAGTTTTGGTTAAAATAACCTAGCGTTCTTGTGTATTCGTTCATTTTCATTTTGCTTAGTACCTTTATTCAACAGGGGTCACCACAGCGGAATGAACTGCCAACTTATCCAGCATATGTTTAACACAGTGCATGCCCTTGCAGCTGCATCCCAGTACTGGGAAACATCCATACATACTCATTCACACACATACACTACCCACAATTTAGTCTGTTCAGTTCACCTACAGCACATGTCTTTGGAAAGTGGGAGGAAACTGGAGCACCCCTAGGTAACTCGTGCCAACGAGGGAAGAACATGCAAAGTACACACAGATATGCCAACTGACCCAGCCGGGACTCGAACCAGAGACCTTCTTGCTGTGAGGCGATAGTGCTAACCACTGTGTCGCCTTTTTTAGAGTGTGTATATTTCATCATATTAACTCTCGTGTAAACAGGGTTAGACAATACATCCAGATTGAACCAATAGAAGACAAACTCAATAAAACAGTGAATAAACAGTCTGTGTGATATGGAGGAAGCTTTATTTTGTCAAGTTATTTTCACACTCATAACTGTAAAGTAATGGACAGTTTATAGATGTTTTTCCCTTGAACAAGGCTTGATTGTTATTATAAGCTTAACATAGTCTATACCTGAGTGGTTTTCAACCAGGTGTTCCTGTATGTTATGAACAGCACCGTATTTTAAGATAATACTGACCAACATTGTGTGATTCCGCAAAACAAAAACAAAAAAACAAACATAGGAAATGTAGCTTTAAGGCGAGACACTGCAGGCAAAACTCTGATTTGTTTTCTTAAACCTTACAATTTTAAGATTGTGGACTTTTTGGCTTTTGATAGTGTTTTTTTTTTCAGTCTAACGTAATGAAAACATCCAATGTATACAGATAGTCAGAATTATTAGCCCCCCTTGGATTTTATTATTTTTTTTAAAAATATTTCCCAAAGAAAGAAAATTTTCACAACATGTCTAATCTAATTTTTCTTCTGGAGAAAGTCTTATTTGCCTTATTTCAGCTAGAATGAAAGCTGTTTTTAGTTTTTTAAATAACCATTTCAGGTCAATATTATTAGTCCTTTAAAGCTTTTTTTTTTTTAATATAATCTATAGAACAAACCATCATTATACAATAACTTGCCTAATTACTCTAACCTGCCTAGTTAACCTAATTAACCCAAATAAAACCTTATAAGATAAATTAAATCAGTTATTAGAAATGAATTATTAAAACTATTATGTTTAGAAATGTGTTGAATAAATCTTCTCTCTGTTAAGCAAACATTTGGGAAAAATATACAGAGGAGCTAATAATTCCGACTTCAACTGTATATATATATATATATATTTAAACTGTTTATATGTGCTGAGCTTAAATACAATGTGCATGTGTCTGTTGCTTTATTTTAAACGTGCATCTGTTGGCTCATTACAAACAGACATGTATGGCAAATTTCACAAAATACACGTTAAACTAACAAAAGACATTTTAAACCTCTTTCATGCCTCTTCAGGGTGGCATTAATCTGTATATCCTGCATTTTGCATTCTGACAAGCTGTGAATGCTCCATTGTAATCCATGGCTTCCTGCTGAACAAAACTGCTCCTTAACTCTTTCAAAATAAAAGTCCCACATACATAGTAAGTATAACACAACTTAGTTATATTAATAAAAATAAGGAAAAAATATGTAACTGTTGTGTATAATCTCAGCCCGGGGCGTGGATATTTATGATCCCATGTGTATAGCCGGAGTTAATGTTTCTGTTCCAAGTGGCCTGTTTTTCACTGGGATTTTACATTCTCAGGATTTACATGAGAATGAGGGAAACAAGTGTGTTTTAGACTCACAGTATGCCATTTTCATGATTTTAAGTTTTATTATTCAGCTATTCTAAGCTATAAACAGATTTTCATTCTAAGGCACCTTTAATATAATCATTGGTGGAAACAGTACTGAAATAACATACTTAAGTAAAAGTACCATTACTTGCCTAAAATGTAGTGCAAAGTATCTGTTGTAAATATTACTCAAAGTATGAGTTAAAAGACCTTTTTAAAAGTACTTCAGAGTAGTGAGAATTATTCTGTAAAAAGCTAATGCATTTACATGTAATTTGTGGATGTGTAAACGTAACATTCTGTAGTGCATTTAGTTATTGCCCAGCAGGCACACAACATCATTAGACATTAATATTTGGTTAGAGTTAGGTTGTGTTGTCAGGTGACCAAAATTCAATGTCTTGTCAGCGTCTAAAGACAATGTTATTTTGATGTCCAATAAAAACGTTGATTTCAGGTTGTGTTAGAAAGTGACCAAAATCCAACTTTAAACAAACATCTTAAACTAATGTCATATTGAAATCAAATGCTGACATTTATTCATCAGGTTTGGCAACCGAAATCCAACATCTCATAGATGTCATAATGGTAACATCCACACAACGTCAAGCTGTAATATCATTAGACGTTGATATTTGGTTGATTTTTAGGTTGGACGTTGGACATTGACGTCGGCCTGACGTTGGGTTCTGACGTCAACCTGATTTTCATTTCCAAACAAAATGAAACTTCACCACGACATTGGAGTACAACGTCAATCTGCCGTCATGTTGACATTTTGGGCTGCTGGGTGTTTAAGGCCATTTCCGTTTTTGTACAATAAACAAAATAATAAAGTAATGACTGCATTTTAAAGGAACGTAGTGGAGTAAAAGTACTAAAAATGTACTCAAGGCAAAGTAAAATTTCACATTTTTAATACTACTTATTTAATTACAATTTCTTCCTAATTACAGTAATTTGAGTATTAGTAATTTGTTACTTTACACCACTAAGTATAATACATTAACCGGGAAAGTATGCAACTAACTATTTACAATTTATTAATTTTATTTCTTTTTTTTTTCACCATATTTACCTGCAGTGTCTTACCTTGTTTAAAATGAGTAATGTGTTTCATTCTAAATGATACGCTAAATGATTTACACAAACTATTTACAGAAATATGTGTCATTATAAATGAAAATGAGCTAAATGATTTAAACAACTATACACAGACATATAAACAAAGACAAATGCATGGCTAATTTTGGTCCCATTGCCCAACGTGGCTTGTTAGTTAGTGCGTATCATCCATTGACCATCAGATGGCAGCAATGTAACGGAGATTTAGCAGGAGATGAGCAGCGAGTTGGTGAGAGACTGGTGACTCTGTGATCTCTCTATGGTCTCGCCGTTAGACAGGATTTCACACGCGGCCAGTTCATGACAGAGAGCGTTCAGCACCTCTAAAATATGCGCTTTCCCTGCAGAGAAGACGTAGTTTAGATGTTTGTGAGGTTAATTTAATCTATATGCAGCATAATGGGGTCCAACTGCAACAAGAATGTGTTATAAACAGTACATGACAATTACACCTCTATAATAAAACATGTTCAGTATTTAAACGACAAAATAACCTTTGAATTGTTTCATTTTTATATATTTTTTGTTCATTTTAATTTCAGTTAAACTTATTTTTAGTTTTAGCTGTGGTTTGCAACAGATAAAACTTACAAAAGAAAAGGTATACAAGACTATAATGCTGAATTCTGACTTTATAACTAGAAATGTGACTTTATAATGCATAATTCTGACTTAATAAACTTGAATTCTGACTTTAGAAACCGAAATTTTGACTTAATAACTTGGAACTGCAACTTTATAATTTGAAATCGTGACTTTGTTACTCGGAATTGTGACTTTATAATTCGGAATTCTGACTTTATAATGCAGAATTGTGACTTTATAACCCCGAATTGTGACTTTATAACTCGGAAATCTGACTTTGTAACTCAAAATTATGACTATAATGAAGAAATCTGACGTTATAACTCGGAACTCTGACTTTATACCTTGGATTTATGACTTTTTAACTTGGAATTGACAATTACTCAGATTTCTGACTTTATAATGCATAATTTTGACTTTATAACCTGTAATTCTGACTTTATAACTCAAAATTATGACTATAACTAGGAATTGCTACTTTACAACTCGTAATTCTGATTTTACAACTTTTAATTCTGACTTTATAACTCGGAACTGCAACCTTAAAATTTGAAATTGTGACTTTATAACTCGGAATTCTGACTTTACAATACAGAATTCTGACTTTATAACCCTTAATTGTGACTTTATAACTTGGATTTCTGACTTTATGACTCGGAATTCTGACTTTGTAACTTGGAATTATGACTTTGCAATGTAGAAATCTGACTTTATAACTCGGAATTGTGACTTTATAACTCAGAATTATGACTTTATAATGCATAATTGTGACTTTAAACCCAGAATTGTGACTTTTAACTCAGATTTCTGACTTTATAACTCGGAATTCTGACTTTGTAACTCGAAATTATGACTTTGCAATGCAGAAATAATGCATAATTGTGACTTTATAACCCGGAATTGTGACTTTATAACTCAGAATTGTGACTTTATAACTCGGAATTCTGACATTGTAACTCGGAATTATGACTTTGTAATGCAGAATTGTAACTTTATAACCTGGAATTGTGACTTTATAACTCGAAATTCTGACTTTATAACTCCGAATTCTGACTTTGTAACTCGGAATTATGACTTTGTAATACAGAATTCTGACTTTATAACCCGGAATTGTGACTTTATAACTCGAAATTGTGACTTTAGAACTCAGAATTCTGACTTTGTAATTCAGAATTATGACTTTGCAATGCAGAATTTTGACTTTATAACCCGGAATTGTGACTTTATAACTCGGAATCCTGACTTTATAACCCGGAATTGTAACTTTATAACTCGGAATTCTGACTTTATAACTTGGAATTCTGACTATATAACTCGGATTTATGACTTTTTAACTTGGAATTGTTACTATTACTCAGAGTTCTGACTTTATAATGCATAATTGTGACTTTATAACACGTAATTCTGACTTAATAACTCAAAATTATGACTATAACTAGGAATTGCTACTTTACAACTCGTAATTCTGATTTTACAACTCATAAATCTGACTTTATAACCAGGAATTATGAATTCATAAATCGGAATTATGACTTTATAACTCAGAACTGTGACTTTATAACTCAGAATTGTGACTTTCTAATTTTTTATTTTAGTTTATTTATTTTTAATTTTTAGATTCTGTGGCGGGTTTGGGCTTCCATACTCCACTGTGTACAATTAATGCAGATTTTTGTTTACCTTTACATCATAGTTTATATTAAAACAATTTAAAGTTGTCCCTTTAGCAGCCCACTTCATGTCTAATCCTTCTGCCTCATTACATTGCATAGCAGGCCTGGTAAACAGTGAAGATTTTATAAGAGCAAAGCTGGCGTGTTAAAAGGTTTTGTGTCTCTTACCATGCTGAGGATCACTGCAGGACTCCAATGTGCTGAGTAAAATCTTTCCTAAAGATCTTCTGGACACGTTCTACAATAGTAACAACATGAAAAAAAAAAACCACAAAGTAAGCATTAATAAATAATAATTACAAGACAAAACATTGTCACACCTAATGTTATGTTGAATAACAAATAATTGTATATTTTCTGAAGAAAACTTGAGTTCTGTTTGCAAAAACTACTTATAAAAGTGTTGCAGTGGTTGGAAGAGTGTTGCTATCTGGTTATTAAGGTTAATTATAGACTATAAGTTGGCAAAAATATAATTTATGATTACAAAAAACAATCCAATTAGTTCCCTAATTTGTCAAGGATCGCAACAGCAGAATTAACCGCCAACTACTCTGATATGTTTTACACACACACGGTAGGATCTTGCCTAGTACAATGCGATCCTGGATTAACATCTATGCTGATCCTGAAACATTTTTGTGGTAAAAAATGTAATCCCTACCCCTAAACCCAACCATAACGGTAAAATATTCCTAAAATCAGAGAGGAATAATAGTTGGATAACAATCATGTGGAAGTGCATAAACCTTACCATAACCCTAAATTTAACATAAACTGTAAGCCCATACCTTAATTTTGACTGGCTGATTGGAATACTGTTCCAGGATCAACATAGATATTAATCCAGGAACATGTCCTACTTGGTGAAATCAGGTTAACGATGCCCTTCCAGGCACAACCCAGCTCTGGGAACTTGAATCCAGTGTTCGAGCAAATTTTGAGGTTTGCTCAAATTCATGAAAAACTCCAATAACAATGAAGGAATAAATTTATAAAATAACATTAGTATTAAATATATATATATATATATATATATATATATATATATATAAACAGTAAGGTTTCGGAAGTGAAAACAGATACATTTTTCACAGGGGAAATTAGTTTGTTACAAACACTGTGAAACTATTAAGAAGTGTATGAAACAGAATAATTTTATTATCATAATAACTTTTCTGCCCTACAGCTGCAACAGGTTCAATGATATTAAACAAAATTGTATCTTTATAGATAACAAGGTAACAGTACTAAATAATATCATTGTGCCTGTTGCAGTCATGGTATAGCACCAAAATTCCTTGATTATTACACCAGAATGAGAGTATAGTTCCTTGTCAAACTAACCTAGAAAATAGCAACTTTTAATTTTCCGTTGGTCTTAGTACACGACGCAACTACAAAATTGTCAAGCATTAAATTGGAAAATGATCAAAACTCTTTTTAAAATTTTTTGAAGGAGATGCTAATGGTCTAATCCAATTCAATGATCTATGCTAAGCTAAGCTAAAAGTGCTCCTGCCAGACCCAGAGATTTGCTTAATGGATTCAAAATGGGATTTAAAACTCTAGGGGAGATTTCAAATAAGCTTATGGTAAAAGAAAGTAGAATGTTTGTTTTAAACCACAAATAAATCCGATTATCTATTACTTTTACATGGAGGCATTTACAGTTGGATCACTGAATCTGACTGACCAGCTCCCGCAGCTGCTGGAGAAGCTGCAGCACATCCATCAGTTTGTCCTCCACCAAAGACAAACGCACCCGTTCTGTTTCCAGCATCTGCAGCTCCAGGTGAAGCAGCTCCGTCTCCTCAGCCTTCTGCTGCAGCTCCTGCACCAGTGCATCCCTCATCTGCACACATACACACACCAATGACCTTGAACACTTGTAAACATCAGTGCTGCAAAAACACAATGAATTTCAGAATTTTTGCCAGATGTGCCGATAGCCCATAATTCAGCCGAGGCACATCATTTTTCAGACAGAAATAGTTGAGATATGCTTGTTTTCAGCCTGTCTGACCATATGTCAAAAACCCACATCTGCTGCATGTGTGCACGTTAAGGCTCGGCCCAAACTGGTTATGCCCAGAGTTATTATTTTTTTTCCATGAAAGTGTGTGGGGCCCGTTTAAAAAACACTAGGATAGTTCATGTCTGGTGCATCGCAGCTGATCTGTGTCTAACAGCTCAATGTACATGTAATTGTGTGAGGCCTGGTGGTTTATTCCTGTGGTCATCTTGGACCAAAGTATACTTCAGTTTTTCAAGCTAGGGTTTGTTTACAATGTGTGTGACACACTTTCATCCTTAGCATGATACACAAGTGCTTATGGAAGGCCATGCAGGGTAGAAGTCTTTAAATTCAACATGGCAAAATTTGACAATGCACAAATGCTTATGGAAGGCCAAATGGGCCAAAAGTCTTTCAATTAAACACAAAATGTTTATAATACAAAAAAGCTTATGGATGCCAAATGGGCCAAAAGTCTTTAAATTCAACATGACCAAATTTATTAATCCACAAGAGCATATGGAAGGCAATTGGGGCTAAAAGTCTTTCAACTAAACACATTTTTTTTATACACAAAGCTTTTGGAAGCCCAAATGGGCCAAAAGTCTTTAAATTAAACATGCACAATTTAATAATACACAAGAACTTATGAAAGGACATGCTGGCTAAAAGTCTTTAAATTAAACATGCACAATTTGATAATGCACAAGTGCTTATAAAAGACAATAGAGGTCAAAAGTCTTTAAATTAAACATGACCAAATTTAATAATACACAAGAGCTTATGGAAGGCCAAATCAACCAAAAATAAAACATTACAAAATTTGATAATGCACAAGTGCTTATGGAAGGCAAAATGAGCCAAAAGTCTTTCAATTAAACCTGAAAACTTTTAGAATACGCATAAGCTTATGGAAGGCCAAATGAGAAGTCTTTAAATTAAACATGACCAAATTTAATAATACACAAGAGCATATGAAAAGACATGCTGGCCAAAAGTCTTTAAATTAAACATGCAAAATTTGATAATGCACAAGTGCTTATGAAAGACAATAGAGGCAAAAAAGTCTTTAAATTAAACATGACCAAATTAATACTATTATAATTATTAATACACAAGAGCTTATGGAAGGCCAAATCGACCAAAAACTAAAGATAACAAAATTTGATAATGCACAAGAGCTTATGGAAGGCCAAATGGGCAAAAAATGAAACAACTAAATTTGATAATGCACAAGTGCTTATGGAAGGCAATTGGGGCCAAAAGTCTTTAAACACATTTTTTTTTTAGAATACAAAAAAGCTTCTGGAAGTCCAAATGGTACAAAAATCTTTAAATTAAACATGCAAAATGAAATAATACACAGGAACTTATGTAAGGACATGCTGGCCAAAAATCTTTAAACCCAGCAAAATTTGATAATACACGAGTGCTTTTGAAAGACATTATAGGCCAAAAGTCTTTAAATTAAACATGCAAAATTTTATAACAGTCAAGAGTTTATGGAAGGCCAAATGGGCCAAAAGTCTTTAAATTAAACATGCTAAACTTAATAATACATGAGTGCTTATAGAAGGCAATAGGGGCCAAGTCTTTAAATTCAACACAGCATTTTTTTTAATAAACAAAAGCTTATAGAAGCCAAAATGGGCCAAAAGTCTTTAAATTAAGCATGCAAAATTTAATAAAACACAAGTGCTAATGAAAGACAATGTAGGGCAAAAGTCTTTAAATGAAACACTAAAATGTTTATATTACACATAAGCTTATAGAGGGCAAAATGGGCAAAAAGACTTTAAATTAAACATGACAAAATTTGATACACAAGTGCTTCTGAAAGAACATGCCAGCTAAAAGTCTTTAAATTACACATGACCAAATTTAATAATGCACAAGTGCTTATGAAAGGCAAAAAAGGCCACAAGTGTTTAAATTAAACACAAAAAAATTTTAATTCACAAGTTCGAATGGCAGGTCATGGGGCCATGATTTGTTTTTGTCATTTTAGCTTTTATTGTGATGGGACAATAGTTGGACAGAAAGCAAAGTTGGTGAAAGAGAAGGGTGATGGGATTTTCTGTAACTATGTTAAATTTAAATCTATTTTAGAGCCTGTCATTTTATCTATTTACTTACATGTAAATATGTGTTAATAAATATCTTTATACTTTTTAAAATATTTATTTGTGTTATATTATGATTGCATTTTAGTTATTATATATTATTGAATATTTAAATGTTTAGATTAGTGTTGTAAAACAATTTGTAATGTAATATTTTCTTATTTGCTATATGAGAGAACTGCGGTAGCTTTGTCTAACAAACAAGTCATTCTAATTGATTGAATTCGCATTTTATCCTTTGATAAAATATGAATATTTTTTTGTAAATTATTTTATTTGTTAAGTTTTTAGCTCATACTCTCAAAATCTTTCTGTAGAAATCAGCTGATTTAAAAAAAAATTTTTTTTTGGAATAATTCTGTGCAGAAAAAAAAGCATCTGCAGGTTCTGTCTGGCTATTTTGAAGAATTAATCTTCATGCATGCTATTAAATTACGTACTTTAAAAGGCTGTAATGTTACAGTTACATTATCTAAACAAACAAACAAACAAACAAACAAACAAACAAACAAACAAACAAAAAAACAAACAAACACATTATGAATATCCACAGCCACCCATAATGCACTGCAATAATGACTATACAACCATGAATTACAAAAAAAAAATGCATAGTGAAACTAACGGACACGATGCCCACAAAATTATCTTCCGTCCATTTTCCAAACCATGGTATTCCAATGTGGATAAAGTGTAATATCAAACTATTTTAAATGTTGTTTTTAACAGAATTAAACATGCTACTGTACCTAAGATAAATACTTTCTGGCTGCTAAGTATCAAATGATTACTAAACAGCAAACGCTAAATAAAATCTCTCAATATCAGTATCAGTGTTCACTCGCTCTATTCACAGGTGGACTATATTAGTGGACTAGTCTAGGTAATAGTGAATGAGAGTTCAGGGGTTGATTCTAATCACATTGGAGGTATGTTTTGTGCTTCAGAAAGGGCTGCTCATATAAACACACACATGCGGCTGGTGGGAGAGTGAGAGCTGTGGCTTTTCTTTGAAGCCCGTCATTCTCATAACAAGCGCTCGGTGGGCAAGTGCCTTGTAATCTAATTTTACACCCCTGCACCCGAAAGCAACCACGAATGTAAAAGTAAAACAGAACAGAAAGTCCTGGTTGGGTGACGTAAGGCATTTAAAGAGCAGCAGCAGCAGCCAAAGTTTATTTGGATGAACTTGTGCCCCAGAGTATGAAAATGTCTCATTAAGTATTTGAAATCTTTGATATGTATTTTAACTGCTTATTTACTGTGCGTGTGTTTTTTAGAGTTTAATGTGATTCTCCAATTCAGGTATTAGATGTTATATTAGATAATTATATTAGTTTCTGTGGCAACTCTTATTCAATTCAAATATTTAGTTGTTGGTCAATTCAGCTTTTTGTTCTCTTACAAAATCATTATTTCTTCATCGGTTTGACAGACTGTATGTTCCACAACGCAAACAAAAATAGAAAAATGCACTACAAATCCCCACAACATTGACATAAATAGAAAAACATGCTGCAAATTCTCACAATGCAAACACAAATAGAAAAGTGCTGCAAATCCTCACTACGCAAACACAAATAGACTACAATCTAGAATAGACGAAGAGAATCTTATAGAATAGAATCAAATAGAATAGATTAGAAAGTAGACGAGTAGATGTATAGAATTTTGGGCTGTGGACAATGTGAAACATGTATTGTTATCTGATTAGCTCACCTTCACTGTCTTTCCCACATCCGGGAGAGTTACGGTGTGGAGAAGTATCAAAGAAGTGTACCACCCAGATTATTGCATGCCCAGAGTGAAGCATGAGGGTGGATCGGTGTTTTGAGTGTGGGGTGTTTTTGAGGAGCGAGTCAGGAAAGGTTTTCCTCCACTAGTATCACGTAGTGACCTGGCCACTATTCTGTCAGAAGAATGGCTCAAAATCCCTCTGGCCACTGTGCAGGACTTGTATCTGTCATTCCTAAGATGAGTTGATACTGTATTGTCCGCAAAAGAAGGTCTTACAACAAACTAATAAAGTAATGTGGTCTAAAACTAGGTGTTTCAGTTTAGTTTAGTGGAATGTGCATAATAGTTTATAAATTGACTTGAGCATTTTCAAGTGTTCTAGATCTCTCTTTTAAATTTCTATTTTCTATAGGTTGCTTTACAATAGTATATTTGTGCAAAAACATTGCATTAGTCAGTGTCAACCTCAAAACCTGCAACTAATCTAGCAAAAAATAAATCAACTTAAGATCAGAAAAAATCAAGAAAAATGACAAAACAATATATAAAAAAAATGTAAAATGTTGTTAAAATTGTGTAGTTTGTAATTTTATTGTTGTAATAACTTTAGAATTTGAATGTAAATGTAATTATTTCTATTCCTACAGATTTTAGGTAACCAAACTTTTAGTTTAATGAATAAAACTGTTTTAGTTATTGACTATATACATATATACATATACTTATATATACAGTGGAAGTCAGAATTACAAGCCCCCATTTCAGTTTTTTTATTTTATTTTATTTTTATATTTTCCAAATGATGTTTAACAGAGGTAGGACATTTTCACAGTATGTCTGATAATGATTTTTCTTCTAGAGAAAGTATTTAAAAAAAAAAAATTTAAGGTCAAAATTATTAGCCCATTAAAGCTATATTTGTTTTCGATAGTCTACAGAACAAACCATCTTTATACAATAACTTGCCTAAATACCCTAACCTGCCTAGTTAACCTAATTAACCTAGTTATGCCTTTAAATGTCACTTAAACTGTATAGAAGTGTCTTGAAAAAATATTTAGTCAAATATTATTTACTGTCATCATGGCAAAGATAAAAGAAATCAGTTATTAGAGATGAGTTATTAAAACTAATATGTTTAGAAATGTGTTGAAAAAAATATTCTCTCCATCAAACAGAAATTGGGCAAAAAATAAACAGGGGGCTAATAATTCAAGGAGGCAACTTTTTATTTTATTTATTTATTTATTTTTAAAAGAGGGTGTACTCTTTTATGAGCACTTTGTATATCATTGAATGCGGTGCAGTCATACCTGGTCAGTGTCCATCTCTGCCCTCCTGGCCTGACTCTCCTTCAGCTCCAGTTGTTTGTTGAGTCTTGTGACCTTCTCCAGCAGCTCTAACACTGCCGTCTGGCTCTCCTCTGTGCGAGAATCTCCAAAATGAGACAACAGCTTCTTCACTGCCTTCTCATCACACCTGAGAGCACACAAAAAACATCAAGAGCCAAGAGTCTGTCAAGAGTATTTTCCATCAAGTGAATGAAAAGCACTTTTATTTGTCAATGTTTCCAGAAAGCCTTTTATTTCCCCTTAGATTTTATTTCACTCCAAAGTTAATTATGAATTCAGGGGGATGCGAAATCGAATAAAATGGATACTTTATAGTATAAAAATTAAAGTATGAATGTAATTTAGAGGTACTCGATCTATCATGCGTCAATTGGATGCGCACTTCAAAAACCCAGCTAAATTGTTAGGTAATTCAGTCTAGCCTCATGTACTGTACTTTCACATATTATTATCCACCTTTTCCCACTTTTTAAAAATTATAGAATACAGTTTGGGGAATGTCCATTTAAAAGAACTGAATGAAATCACTTTAAATGAGGAGAGTGATAAAGAGTGAGAGAGATACTATTGTTCATTAATGTCATATTTGGTATTATAACATGACATTACTGTAGTATCACAAGCATATCTGTAGCTCTCAGGATTCTTCCAAAACATAGAAAGTATGATTTGTAAAAAAAAACAATTAATTTTTCATAGCAAAGAAAAGATAAGCCATTTAAAGAAGTTTAAAATAAGTAAATAAAACAAGAAACCAGGCATGTGTGGCATACATCTAAAAAAATATATACATATACAATAAAAATTTGCATTCTATAAATGAAATAATGTGTTGCTCACAATATTTCTTCACAGTAGCCAAGTCTCTTTTTGAATTCACTGTGTTTTGTTCCTTCAGATTATAGCATATATTATAGCATATTAGAGCAATATTTAATACATGTTCGTAATATTGCTGCGGAAGACTTTTTGGAAAGAGTTTTTGAAACTATTCATCAACTATTACATATGTAGCATTACAGATCTTCAATAAGTGACTGTCGCCTCAGAGCAAGAAGGTTGCTGGTTTGAGTCCTGGCGGGGACAGTTGGAATTTCTGTGTGGAGTCACAGCAATTTGTAACTCTTTGATTTAGTGACTAATTCATATGAATTCTATTGTACAATTTAGTACGATTTAAAAAAGCATACATTTTCACAATTGTATGAATTCAGCACTAAACTGACAATACATAAATACTTACGTTTCCTTGTGAGAACAGGCTTGATCACACATCAGTTTAGTGATAGGGTTACTTTATGGGTGTGTATTATTATATGGGGATATGTGTGTACCTGTCTCCGCAGCAGGACAGTCTGGTGAGGATTCTCTTGACCTCGTCCACCTGTCTCTGCTGTTCTCCTGTCCATCTCTCCTCTTCTTCATCAGACGCAGCTTGACCCTCCACTGAACGAAACAGTTGCTCCTCCACTACACACACATACAAACACATTAAATATTGTATTATTAAATACATTTTATATATAATCTCATATACATATATATATATATATATATATATATATATAAATATTTGACTGAAAAGGAATTTATCAGTATAAATTGGAATTACAAGTATGAGAAAGATAATTATATACAGTTGAAGTCAAGATTGTTAGTCCTTCTGTAAAATTTACAATAAAAAATCTAAATTGTTGCTTAATGAAGAGATATTTTTTACTAACTAATTTTTTAATAACTCATTCATCTTGTCTTGCCATGGTGAGAGTACATAATATTTTTCCACTTACTTTACAAGACACTAGTATTCAGCTTAAAGTGTCATTTAAGACTTAACTAGGTTACTAACTAGGCCAGTTAATATAATTGACAAGTTACTGGTAAACAGTGGTTTGTTTTATAGAAAATAAAAATATATATTTCTAAATGAGGCTAATAATATTGATCATACAAAAGTAAAAACTCTTTTTATTCCAACGTTTCCATATTTCCTAGCAATATTTGAATATATGGCTATATAAGCACATTATAAAATTAAAGTTAACATATTTGAACATTTATGTACATATTTGTAATTCCAATGGTAGAAATATATAAATATACAGTTGAAGTCAGAATTATTAGCCCCCCTGAATTATTAGACCGCTTGTTTATTTTTTCCCCAATTTATGTTTAACAGAGAGAAATTTAGTAATAAATTGTTATTTAGTATTACATTTTTAAACATAATAGTTTTAATAACTCATTTCTAATAACTGATTTATTTTATCTTTGTCATGATGACAGTAAATAATCTTTGACTAGATATTTTTCAAGACACTTCTATACAGCTTAAATGACATTTAAAGACTTAAACATGTTAATTAGATTAACTAGGCAGGTTAGGGTAATTAGGAAAGTTATTGTATAATGATGGTTTGTTCTGTAGACTATCAAGAAAAAATTTTGCTTAAAGGGGCTAATAATTTTGTCCTTAAAATGGTTATTAAAAAAATTTAAAACTAATTTTATTCTAGCCAAAATAAAACCAACAAGACTTTTTTCCAGAAGAAAAAATATTATCAGACAAACTGTGAAAATTTTCTATGCTCTGTTAAACATCATTTGCGAAATATTTAAAAAAGAAGAAAAAAAATGTGAAGGGGACTAATAATTCTGACTGGCTTATATAAAAGGCAAAGGCTTCTAGATTACGCTTATTTTATCAAAATAGCTATGATCATGCCTTAACATTTATTTAATTAGGACAGTAAGGTCTGACTTAGCTTAAACATAAGTTTTGTCACTTAACAGAAATATTGTACAGTACAGAATATAAAGTCATGGTGCAGTAGAAGAAGCATGAATATTGTATAACTCCCATGAGCTTGGACGACTGCATCCATACATCTCTGCAATGACTCAAATAACTTATTAATAAAGTAATCTGGAATGGCAAAAAAAAAAGCCTTCTTGTTCAATAATGTTCATGTCTGGTGACTGTGCTGGCCAATCCTGGAGCATCTTGTTCCTACTTTGTTTTCAGGAACTTTGTGGAGGCTGAAGTATGACAAGGAGTGCTATCCTGTTACAGAATTTGCCCTCTCCTGTGGTTTGTGATGTAATGGGCTGCACAGATGTACTGTATTGATATCTCAGGCTGTTGATGTTGCCATCTACTCTGCAGATATCCCCAAACCATGATTTTTCCTTCACCAAACTTGACGGATTTCTTTGACAATTTTGGGTCCATGAGGGTTCCAATAAGTCTTCTCCAGTATTTGTGATGATTGGGATGCAGTTCAACAGATGATTCATCAGAAAAATCTAACTTTTGCCACTTTTCCAAATGATCAACTAGAAGTCAGGTTATTATTTGTTGCTTTTACAACTGGGATTAATGACAAGACTTTTTTTCAGGTAGCATATTTTAAATTTATGAAATCCAAATATGAATTTGCATATTTCCATGTAACATTTCAACAGGGATAGACATACATCTGCACACATGTAGTATAGAATATTGCCTATTAATAAAAAAAAAAAACTGCAAGTAGGAACTATTTCCAAACTGCACACCAACAGTGTCAAAAAGGCTTGTGCAATGTCAATATTTGTCTTACTGGTGTCGGACACAGTCTCTGCCCGTCCTGTTGGTGAGTGTCGATCCTGCTCTGTATCCAGGCAACAGCGGGACACCGTCTGACTGGCCCCATTATACCGTCTGTCCAGTTTGTGGATGAATGCAACTGATGTTTTAGACACTTCAGATCTGTGGAGAGTAAAATACAGCAAGTGAAGTAACAGGTCAGACATTAAAAACAGGAGTTCTGCTTTCAGGACATTATTGTGATGCAAAACTAGCAAGAAACAACAGTGCAGTGTTGATGAAAGTTACTTTAGAAAGTAATGCATTAAAATATTGAGACACTCACCAAACTATATGCATTACTTGGTTACTTTTTATGGTAAGTAATGCGTAGTTTTTTTTAAGTTACTTTTGTATTACTTTTTCTGACCTAGCTGTGGCTTGATCTCTTTCAGAACCTGTGGGGGGTTTTCTTCTTTTTCAAATAGAGGAGCTATGCAATTAACTGTATAAACTGCATTTAACTTAAAAAAAACACATAATAAATGAATGCAGCATCTTCAGAGAACTTTCTGACCCCAGAGCTCTACATGCCGTATATACAGATTAATGACAGTTTAAAGCAATGTGTTTGCTATTTTGTACTTTTTGTTCTATTAAAAGTAAAATCACTGTCCATTCAAATAATCCTCTTTTCCTTTTCTTCCATGTGTTCAAAATAATGAGATTATTTCCAAGGCTCCGCTTTTTTCCTTTCTGACTGTTCCTGCATTCTCTCATTGCATGTTGGATTCAACGTGACTGCAGTCATTTTAATCCAGCAATTTAGTTTTTAAAAGCAAATGAACTAAACTCAAAGGTAACTCGCATTATTTAAAAAAAAAAAAAAAGTAACTCAGTTATTATACCTAATTCTGAATGCATTGCTATGCTTCTACTTACATAATATTATCACGTCGCTTGTGGTACTTGTTATGTATTACCCCAACACTGTGTTTTAATAAATGTTTGATCATGTCCTAACATCACTGTATTGCATGCTGTCTACATATTTCCATTTGATCATTGTAGATAGATCCTACAGTGATAAAAAATGATTCTGTAAAGAAGTAAATACTTTAGAACAAATAAATAAATAAATAAATAAATATTTTTTCTATATAAGGTTTTTAGTTCTGGCACGAAAAAAAAATGTAAAAATAAATTCTCTACAAATGAAACCTTGATCTTATATAGATATTTTACTTGAAATTGTTCATGTTTTACAATGATTAAATATCCAAGTAATAAAATCAAAGGCATAGTTCACTCAAAAATAAAAAAGTGTCATCATTTACTTACTCTTCACTTATTCCAAATCTGTTAAAAGTTATTTCGTAGAATGTTGAAAACCTGTAACCATTGACTTCCATAGTATTTGTTTTTCCTATGATGGATGTCATTGATTATAATTTTACAACATTTTAAAAAACATTTTTTTTGTGTTTAAAAGTACAACAACAAAAAGACACAGGTTTAGAACAAGTCATGCATGAGTAAATTGTGGGCTTTCATTTTGGGTGAACAACCCCCTTAAGTAAAATCTTATTAAATGTATGATACTGTATATACAACAATGGAACATTTAGCATTCTTCTCTGTTTGCCAGTTGTATTTACACAGTTTTTATCAGCGTTTTTGTTGTTAGGTGTAATATTTTCCCATTTTATGACATCTGGAGTTCATTTTCTACTAAAAAAAAAAACCCCAAAACAAAACCAAAACCAAATTCACACAGAAAAAGCATTGATTGTTACTGTCATTGTGTATTGTGTTCCAAGTATTCAGGTCTCTGTGGTTAGTTTATGTGCCTCAAAATAAAAGATTAAAACAAGAATCTCTTGGTAAAGCATACTTAAAATAATCATGAATTAATCCTGAAAGTAACTACTCAATAACATTACTTGTAAATAACAAATCAATATAATGCTATACATGAAGTTTACCTAAAAACCCTATTATACTTATCATTTTTTTACATGTCAACATAAAACACAGTATGCATGATTTTGATAAATGTTTAACATGCATCCATACCAGGCACCAGGTAACATTATATGACTTCAAAATCAACATATTTCCAGCATTTGTACTTTTGTCAGACAGCTATAAGCGAATGCAGTCGATAATGTTTCTGTCATTTCAACGCAACCGTTTCTCTTTCTAAGCTTTGCGACAGATGAAATGCAATAGGGGGCTTTCATGAATCAAAAGAGTAAATGCTTCCAGATGACAATGTCCTGCTTGCAGAAGAAAGAAGAAGAAGAAAAAAGCCTGCAGAAATCCATTTGCTCCAGTGTGAGCCGAAAAAAAAGAGAAGAATTTGAAGCCGGTTGCAGTCAAGCATAGATCCTGCTGCCATGAGGAGCCCTTCAGTGCAGAGCGGCCATAAATACAGCCCGTATGAGCCTACAAAATCATCTCTCAGTACACTGTGCTTTCGGGACACATATTTTAGGGTCAATATTTGGAGTGGGGTGTTTGAAGAGGGGGGTGGGTTGGCTAAAGTGTGTTTCAAAGCTCTCTGATGACCCACAGCTGCCGGAGGAGACAACCAGGGAGACCCTAAACAGGCCTGTCAGTAACACTGCCATAAAGAGAGGAAAAAAACATACTGACATGTGTGATGTTGTGGTTTAAGCATGGTGATGAGAAGGAGATGGTACATGCACAGAGTTTCTAATTGGAGTTTAATTGATGTTGCGATGGAAAAATGTGTATTGTAAAAAAAAAACTACATAAAAAAAGAAATGTCGGATAAGTCCTATTTATTTTACGTCTGATTTTAATGATAAGACTTGACATGGTATGTTTTTTTAATTATATTTATCTTTTGGACTAAAACAACAACAATAAAATCTACTAAATCATGTGACAAAATAAACACATGAGTGCCTTCAAAAACAGTATTACTTTTTAAAATTATTATTAAGAGGGAATGCAATTAATCAAAGGTGATGTCAAGGTCTTATATTAGTTAGTATTATCAGTATATATTATTAGTATATATAATTATTTGTATTATTAGCAGTGTTGGGTAAGTTACTTTAAAAAAGTAATAATAGTAATCTGATTACATTACTAATTACCTCATGTAAAAGTAATCAGATTGCTAATTACTTTACTTTGAAGTTACTTTTAAAACATATAAAATATACCTATAAAAATACAAAATAAACTCCAGCTCTTTTAGTAATTTAATATTCATTACAATGAATTACAATGGGTTGATCACTGCAGCTTGACATATTCAAAAGACTTAATAAGTTTGCCCAAATATTACAAATCTCTCATCATTCACCTGTTTCAAACCTTTTTGTCTTTTTTTAAACCCAAAAGAAGACATTTAGAAGAAAAATGGATACCTGTAACCATTCACATCCATAGTGTGCAAAAGCACTGCAGTGTTTGGGTGTTCTGTGTTCTTTGAGGTAATTAGTCTACCGAAATTTGTGTATTCCAAAGTATGAAGCTGATTGGTCAGTTCTTGTCACGTGACTCATATTTTTCAACTTGGTGCGCCTGGGAAAAGCAAGCGCAAAAGACGCGATATGTGAGCGGCCCCTTAAGCAACTGCGCTTCACTCTACATTCAAAAGGTACCTTAAATCCCAATCTCGCACAAAAAATGTATTTAGCCTGTTTAGGCTGAGTCAAGCCACCATGTTTTTGGGTGCCGGTGTCTCCTTGGTGAAACGTAGCCTGTTGTCGTAGAATGCTTTCTGTTCTAGTGCTGAACAAGTTGCTGGTCGAGTTAAAAGCAGTCAAAATTTCTTTAGAGACTGGACATAGACTGCATTTCACAGCAATATTTTTGGTTTTTACGCTCGAGGAAATCAAAGTAATGTCTGTATATCCAGTTAAAGAAACAACCACTCTCATCAGCAACCATTTCAGATCAGGTCCTCAGCAATTTAAAAGCACATGTTCATTAACTGATGTTGTACCTGTATTTGTAACGCAAGTAATGCAATTACATTGACTTTAGTAACTGTAATCAAATGACAAAAATCTAAAATGTAATTCGTTACAGTACTGCGTTGCTCAGAAATGTGATTAGAACACAGTAACGCGTTAATGTGGATTGCGTAATAATTTAAGCCCCTATACACCGTTAACAATTTTTGTTAATTTTGTAAATAGTATTTAACTGTAATATAACCTGTATTTTACTGTAGGACAGTTATGCAGTATGTTACTGTATTTTAAATTTGCATTGTGAAACTGCTAACACTTTATTTAGATGGTCCAGTTGAGTATTAGTAGACTGTCTGCTTAATATCTGTTGATACTGCTCCTTCAACTGACAGTTAAGTAACTATAAGAAACTTTGCAAATATATTTCAACTTACAATAACCCCAACCTACTATACTATATAGTCTACTTATAATCTAATGAGAATTAATTGGCATGTAGATGCAATGTAACTAAATTCAGGACCATCAAATTAACCTAAATTTACTCACATTTTACAGTAAAGACATATAAAAAGATAAATGGTGCTGTAAATGCAAATACAGTACTTTCGCTGTAATTGATTTACAGTAGGTTACTGTGTATTCTACAGGAAATCACAGTAAATCACAGGCAATCATCAACTCAGTGTATTAAAAATGATTTCTGAAGGATCACGTGACACTGAGCGCTGGAGTAACGATGCTGAAAATGTTAGTTAATGTAGTTCCTAACATGAATTATGAGCAATCTTATGCAGCATTTCAGGACTTACTAATACATGATAAAATCCAAAGTTGTCCTTGTTAACATTATTTAATGCAGTAAACAACGTTATTTTCATTAACTACCATTGACAAAGATGAATAAATAATGTAGGAAATGTATTGTTGATTGTTTGTTAGTAAATTCATTTAATGAACCATTATTATAAATGTTACCATTGCATCTTAAGATGTATTAAAACGCTCTATTTGAAATGTAAAAATGCTTATAAACATTAATATGTTATCTAAATGCAGTCTTGGGGAGAAAAAGAGACTTCTTTAATAAACATATTTCTGACCCCAAACCGCTGAACGCACATTTGTACATGTACATGTTCACATAAATGACAATAATACACAATATGCCACATCTGCTCAATGTGAATATCAGTCCTGCTGAAGTGATTAGAAAAGTGTATTTGA